AGAAATGATGAAAAATTGCTAACCGAAGTTTGCGGTGAAAGGTGAGTCTCTTGGACACTGTCGCTGCGGGCACCTGCTTGTCCTCGATTCTTTTTTTCCTTATAGTCACTCATCTCAATGGCGATACTCCAGAGGAAATTAAACTTTCTGTTGAAAGAAATAGACAACATAATAGCCACAGAACAAATTTTTATGACGATATTACGTTCATTTGTTTATTTATTTATTATCATTGTTTATTTATAATAAGAAATAGGGAAAAGAAATAATTATAACTCCGTTTGTAAGCAAGTAAACGTCGAAGAACGTGACTTTGTCTCGTTTATATATACGCGCTCGTTTCCTCGATCATGAAACTAACTAATTATGGTGATTACGTTAGAATGATCCTCTAGGAAACGTATAATAAAGTCGTTTGAAAAAATAACTAATTGAGAACGTTGTATGATATTTTTCAGACACATTCCTAACGTCGGATTCACCGGGAGATCAAATATTCTTGGCGACATTTCGAGTTACCGATGGAGATTACTTTGCATTAGAACTGGCAGATCCCTCTACCGAGGCCTTTCGCATACGATCGCGAGAGTATCGCGATCGGATCAATCTTATTTTCCGACGTAGTTGGCTAAAACTCTCCTTTCTCGCTTCGGACATTTTAGCACTCGACGGGTAAGTAATGTTATGGATCAGAATTGATTTAAATTTTAATAGCTCGAATAATTTGTTGTTCATTGAAATGATGTTCGAATCGATTTAAGATGATATTTCTATCGAAAGATCTATCGTAGTCGTTTACGTTATGCCCTATTCGTCTAATATTCTCTTAATAGCGTTTGTACCGGTGAATGATTATAGAAGTTACGTATAAAGCGAATAAATCGAATAAATCGAGTTTCTTGAGATGGAATAATTGAAAGTCTGACGATGTTCTTCCCGAGATTTATCTTGGCTCGATACGAAAGAGAGAAAACCTTTTTCCGATCCCTCTTGCAATTCTTTTACGATTCGTACATAAGCAAACGCGACGCGTTCTGTTGTGTGCACTAAGGAAGAACAAGTATCGAATGCGCCACTTTCATCAGTAATGTATCCTCATGTTTCACATCAAACGAATATAGTAGCTATTTATTTCTAATCTCTTTAAATATTTCTAACGTTTAAAATACATTTTACGTATTCTCTTGCGACACTCTATATCGTTCTATAAAAGATTCTCAACTGGGAATATCTGATAGGATTAATTCTTGTCAGTGATAACAATACTATAAAGCTAACTTTTGTCTCTCTCTCTCTTTTTTTTTTCTCTATTGCAGGGTGGAAGGACGCGACTTGGTGGTCCATTTCGATGTCAGATTTGATCCACGATATCAAACCATCACTACAAGCGACGTGGTTGACATTCTATCGCGCGAGATCGATCCGACTAGCACGAAATATTTATCGAATCTGACGATAGACGCAAAGAGTCTCGAAGTTCAAGAAAGTTTGACAGCTTTAAACGCACAAGTCAGCCTACAAACAACAGTCTCGACGATTCCACCTACAACGACTGCACCACCCCCAAGAAGATGCAGTCTTCTCGAATTATCTTATTGCAAACATCTTCCATACAACGTAACTTCCTATCCGAATATATTGGGACACCGTTCTTTGATCGACGTGGAGGAAGACGTTATTGCATTTAGGTAACTTCTTCGTTAATCGCTTATCTTTCGCAAAAATGATCTTTGCCATGATTTATATTTTTCATTTTCAATTAGGGAATTGGTAGATGCCGAATGTTATCGTTCGGCATATGACTTCGTCTGTCAAGTTTTACAACCAGCCTGTTTGTCCGGCGACCCCGAAGATTTATTGCAACTACCTTGTAGGAGTTTTTGCAGAGAATTTTGGAACGGCTGCGGAAACAGACTTTCGGAGAGGATCAAGCGAGCTTTGGATTGCTCCAATTTTCCGGAATACGCGGATGTTGGTAGTTGCAGGCCAAAACCAGGTGACAATTCTTATCGTTGTTCTAATTTCAAAGGAACTCTAAAAAAATATAATTTAAATGAAAAGTACTATAAAATGAGGAACATTGTTATTTTTATCGTAGGATGCGTACAGACGCTTCAATCGAAGGCTTTGTCGCCAAGGATTTGCGATGGTATAATCGATTGTCCAGATCTGGCTGATGAAAAAAATTGTGCTTATTGTCGCGACGGATATATGCATTGCGGAATTGGAAGAACTTGCATTCCACATGTCAAACGATGCGACGGAAAAATAGATTGTCCAAATGGAAGCGACGAGAAGGATTGTCGTGAGTAGAGCGAAATTGTTGCTTTCTTTTTTCTTTTTTTTTTTTTTTTTTTTGATGATCGACCCTTTCGTTTGATAGTATCATTAGCGCAAAGTATAAGAGCTGTTAAATCTCAGCCATGGGACACGCCACACGCCGCAAAATACAACAACGAGGGTTACGTCGTTTTTAATGAAAAAGGTACAATCGGTAAACTCTGTACTGAGAATTTGAATGCCACTATGCCGGCAACAGAAATGGAAACCGTTCTTCAAACAGTAGCTAATTCTCTTTGTACTCTATTAACTTATACGTAAGTGGGATTATTTTTCGATAGAATGTTATCCTTGAAATGTAAGATTTAATTTGATAATTTGTTTTCGCAGTGGCGTCAAATCTGTTGAGGTGAGAATCGACGAAGAAGAAGATGTTCAATACGTTCATATGGAAGATCCATCGGCTACAGAGATCACGTTTGTCAGGGCACCATGTCCAAGCAAAGACGTTATGTATATTCGTTGTTCTGAACTCGGTAAGAAATTCAAATTACCCAATTTTTTACTTTTACTACGTATATCGTATATACAAAAGTTTCTTTTTTATACTTATCGTTTTAGAATGCGGGGTACAGCCTTTACGAAATAAAGGTAAACAAGGCCTTAGTAAAATGGCAGAACCTGGCGATTGGCCCTGGCACGCAGCACTTTTTAAGGAAGAGGTACATGTTTGCGATGCTACGTTGATTGCTGAAAATTGGTTACTCACAACTGCTTCTTGTTTCCAAGGGTAATAAAACATATTCGTGATATATTTTAATAGATCATTGTTCAAAATATGTTTATTTATTTTGATTATTTAGACAACCAAAGGCAGAATGGTCTGCTAGGTTGGGCACAGTACGTCTTTCGAGTACGTCACCGTGGCAACAGGAACGTAGGATCGTAGGAATGATAAAATCCCCTGTGGAAGGAAGTACGACCGTTCTATTAAAATTAGACCGTCCTGTTGCGACTTATTCAGATTTTGTCAGGCCAGTTTGTTTGCCTTCTGCTCAAGATCCACCATCGACCAATGCATCTCAATGCAATACTTTGGGTTGGGCCAGAAATCGTACGTAATTTTTTTTTTTTCTTCTTTATTTGTTTTGACATATTCAAAGTTTAACATTATTTAGATTAAGAAGAAAAAAAATACAACGAAGGTCTCTATATAGTTTTACCTAATAGATAGAAAGTCATTTTTCCCTTATTCTACGGATACTTTTATAATAAATATTAAAATGAAATAAAGATGGTTGTATAATATACGATTTTTTTATTCTTAAGGATAGAAGGACATATCACGATAATGTGCATTTATAAAACATGTTAGATAAACACATTGAGGAAAATATAGAATGAAAGAAACTGGTATACTTACATAACTAACTTACGTTAATGTGCATACTTTCATATAGAAATATTATTTATTTAATAATGCAATGAAGCCGCAACTGTTGTCCGACTTTTTGAAAAAATAAAGGAAAAAGAAATATTTATTCTTTGTACTTTCTATTTTGAAAAAAAATATTCATTCTATATATTTTCTGTTTTAGGCGATATGCTGCAGAGAGTACAATTGAGGCATAGTGCGATGGAAAGATGCGAAAATATAAGCATTGCTTCGGTCAACAGCGTTTGTACCGAGCCAGCATATTCGGTGGATGATTGCAACGTAAGTTATAATATATTTAAGACTTATAACTTAGATGTAATATTTTGAACATCGATTTATTTAGGAGGAAGAAGTCGCTGGTAGCCCAATGCTTTGCCTTCAAGCTGGCGGTCAAACGTGGGCATTAACTGGAGTTGGTAGTTGGCGAATAGCTTGTTCTAAAGCAGGCGTCGAAAGACCTAGATTGTACGATCAAATATCCTCTAATATCGCTTGGATAAAATCAACGATTAGTTAAATATTTACAATCGTTTGAGATGAATACAAAACAAAAAAAAAAAAAAAGGAACAAAAAAAAAGAAAGAAAAGTCATTTTGAATTAACAAACATGTACTGAAATGAAAATTGTGATAAATACTTAAAATCAACGACGATCGTATGTATATTATTTTCTTTTGCATAATTCGAACGTTTTATTACTTTTCATTCGTCATTCCTTCTTTGTATCGTCATCGATCGCTATTGCCATTAGATCATAACTTCCTAAACGTACATAGTGATATACGTAGTGATATTTAGTTTTATTTCTTCATTAGTAAAAGATATTCAAAATTAAAGATTACCGCGTACGATTGTAAATACGAATATGATCATTATATTGACTTTTTAAACAAATCTTAACAAATGATTTCTCGTTTTGCGCGGCATAATTAATCTTAATTTATTTTATCGAAGAAAATTGTATTCATTATCTTTGTAAAATAAATATTATGTCGGTACCAAACCGATGTTGACGTATCACATTACGTTCTTAAACCAAATGGAATTATAACTAAATTCAATAAATTCCAAACATCGTCTTCTTATTTGTTTTTGTTTTTTTTTTTTTTTTCATCATAATGTTTAAAAATACATACGGTTGAAGTAGCAGTATTCGTTAGATTGTTATTTTCGTTAAATATAATAATATTCTATTAAATTGTTCACGAATATATGTTCTTATACCTTTGGAATGTATTTTCTTAATGTAAATAAATAATAGATTGATTAAAATAGAAAATCAAATTGTAATTAATGATTCTTAATAATTTCAATAGTAACACGAAGTAACGTGAAATAAAGTCTCTAGCTTTTCTTGGCCGGTTTTAAAGAGGAGTTTGCGCATGTGTAAAATGGTGGGAGATTATAAGCAGCTGATATTTAAGTAATTCGTTGTTAATAGCTCAGTCGTCTGTTTATCGAGAACCGATTCAAAGCCACCTGTGTCGTTACTATATATAGTGAAACAAACGAAGTATATTGATATTAACAATTTTGTTTGGTACAATAAACATGGTAAGATTATTTACAATGTGAATAATGATCCATAACGATCTGAAATCATTTTCTAAATATTTATTGGTACACACAGTATTTTGTCTTCCATTTATTTATATGTACAGAGGGTAACAAAAATTATAATGGTTTCATGTACAATCGAGTGAAATATTTTTTATATAATAGAGAGTGAAAACTGTAAGATAACCTTTGTCTTCGTTAAAAAATGATAAAAGTTATTGAACGAATATATCAATTAAAGTTCGATTTAAAATAAACCATTCAATGATACCATTGAAAAATGCATAATTAGTTAATGTGTGTATTATCGAAACGTTAAAAATGATGCGAATAAAAAAAAGATCGGCTATTAACTTTGTTCAATAGTTTATTTAATTTTTTTAAAAGTTTAACTCGTACAAAAAAGGATAAAAAATTTCCATTTTTTTTTTCGCAAATACATACGTTCGAAGACTTGCATAAGTGTCATAATTTCATGTCTTTAAATCATGTCATTCATGTTCAATTGAAAAAAATGTCTAAGATTCAATATGTAACATTGTTAGATTGTACTTGAATGTATAAGCTTTCTATAAACGAGGCTATAATTAACATAAACTCAAATTATATAATATTTTATCACCATTAGAATTATCAAAGGAATATTAACATAATATCATACAATTATCCGTCGCTTGTATTTTCTTTTCTCGCTTATTTGTTCTTCAACATAATCCATTTAATTAGCTTCTTAAGGCGTGTACAAGAACAATAAATATTTTTGGGAGATCAAAAAAATCAATTCATATAGCAGCATATCGTTTTACGAAGGAACCGAAGATCAGCGAAGAATATTCGGATTTAGCAAGGATCAATGATCTTGTCGATGATCCGATGGATCTTTTCAAATCGTGGCATGAAGAGTCAAGAAAATATTTACGAAATATGCTAGATATTTTTTGCCTGGCAACGTCCTCTATGTGAGTATATATATATATAGATATATACGATAGAGATTAATTATGAATTTCGAAAAGAATCATTAAAATCAAATTATCTTCATTATCAGAGACAATAAAATTGCGGCAAGAAATGTAGTACTCAGAGAATTTGATAACAAGGGTTTCGTAATAGTCACTGATCAACGAAGTAGAAAAGCCTCAGAGTTGGTAAGAATATCGTATCGCGAACGAAATTTTATTAAGTAAATCTATTCCGATAAATTTTAATAAAAACATTTTAATAAATACATATTTATAATCATAGGATAGTGTACCACGAGCTGCTGCATGTTTTGTATGGTGTTACATAGATGATAAAGGACAAAACATTGTCAGACAGGTGATGGTTTATTTTATAAAAAAAAAAAAAAAAAAATTTCAATTGTATTATATCATAAATTTATTTATTGGTTCGTTGAAAAAAAATATTTATCTTTATATGAGTACGACATAGGTACGAGCTGAGGGTACAGTAAAAAAATTAGAACCGATAGAATTTAAACATCTTTACGACAGAGAGCCACTTTTTTGCAAGATTCGATCTCATTTGTGTCATCAAGGTCGCGTAATTGATTGGGATGATTTGAAATGCCGACATGATGAAATTTTAAAGGAATATCAAAGCGGCAAGAATACTCTGCCAATGCCGGAACATTTGTATGTTAATTACTTTTCAAATGACGCACAATTAAATTATACGAGTAAATTTCAGGAAATCATTTGTTTTTAGCATCGGATATAAATTGATACCAACAATGATAGAATTTTACTACGCGAAGGACGATCTTATCGGGGATAGAATGCAATATACCAAAAACACTTCGATCGATGGATGGGAACAAAGAAGATTGGCCGCTTAATATTAAAAATTACAAACATGTTTGATTATTTATTTTCTAAATAAGGAATCCTTATAATAGTTAAATTTTATTGAATAAAATAAAACAAATTTCTATGTCTTCTGATTCAATCGATGAATTTAAATATCTAACATTTAAAATATCAACGTTGATTTGTAAAGGCATAAAAAAAAAACGAAAGTGTTTTCAAATAGTTCAAAGTTACAGAATATTGTTGCGTCAATAAATAATTTCTTTTTATCATATCTTCCGAAATTTCAAAAATCATCGATGTTTTCTTTCTTTCTTATTTTTTTTCTTCTTTTTTTTACAGGACCACATATCTTTATCATTAAGAAACGATAACTAAAGTCAAGATGAATTAAAATACTATGATTTTCACGCGACCTTGCGAAACACTATCTATGCGTACAGTATGCACTTATGGCATAACATCTTGTTTAACTGTAATGTACCGACGGTCAATTTCATCATCGCAAAAAAGTTAATTATCTTTTTAAGTTAATAATAATTTTTTTCTTTTTTTTTTTTTTTATGAAAATAAATGAAGCATTTACGAGAACATTACATAATCATAAAATATTATTTAAGAATAATTTTTTAGTTTTATTCATGCATACAGAATGGCGAGATTAATGATATTACAATTTTTATATTGAAACCTTTTTTTATATCTCAAAGATATATAATACAAAAAAAAAAAAATGTAATGAAAAATAAATAGATGATATTTTTTTTGTAACTAATATTTTTCTTTTAACATTTTACATTTTCATTGGGAATGGGAGAGAGATGATTGGGAGAGGGTATTCAGAAAAGAAAGTAAAAATGGGATTATATACATTATTTACAATGTGTACAACGTAATTAGCGAAGAGTAATTACGCCCATCAAATTATATTTCGATTAATTTTTTTAATATTTTTTTCTATGATTATCTTTCATATCACTTTGAGTCACATTTTTGTATTTTTATATGGTATAAATAAATTTTTAAACAGTTTTATTATATTTGTAATATTTATAAATAATTAGTGATATATTTCTATATTTTTTTTTTTTTTTTTTTATCAGTATTCGTACTTGAAATGTTATTATTTTTTTGTGCTATGATCGAAATTTGAGTACTGATATGACATGAATTATACAAAGTATTCAAGTTTTATTCTCAACATATTCTATAAAAAAAAATTAAGAAAAAATGTTATTTATATATACATATATGCAGATAAAATGTTATATATATATATATATATATATATATATATATATATTAATAGATTTATTTAAAAATTTTAGTTAATGTAGAAATATTATTAATAATTTTTAAATGGAAGTGAAATATTAGTCGATTTTAAATATATCTAGTTTTTTTATAATTGAATATAATTCAGATTTATAAATTATATAAATAAAAATTATTTTTAGATATATAAATTTATAAATTAAATATTTTTGGGATAAACTAGGAATATAAAAATAATTAAGATTTTATATTAAATAATAAAAATATTCATAAAATTTGAATTTTTTTTTTTTATATGTTATAATTTATAATATAGATTAATAATATATTTAAAATTTATAATTTTTATTTTTATAAAATAAAATTTTATATATATACATATGCAGGTAAGCTCTTAAATATTTTATTAAAAGATTATAACAAAAATACGAAATAACGTTAGTTTAATGTTTCATTAACGAACACATTGCCCATATTTACTTGATATGTTGAGATAAACTCTAATGTTTACTTGCTGAAGTTATTGATTTGATCGTTGACCTATGTTAAAACTAATAATACTTTATATGCTCTACGAATTGTTATAATTAAAATGAAACGAACAATGTAGATACAGATGTCAGAGTCCTGTATTCGTAATAACGAACATTTTGAAATAGAATTATAATGTAAATTTATTCCTACGTGGTATCGAACAAGAAACCAGTTTGTTGTCGTTTCGTATAAAAATATATCATTCGTTATAGGTATTACAAATATAATAAAAGTTATTTAATAATAATAATAATATTCTTGAAGCATTAGATCAGTAAGAAAATCAATTAAATCATATCAAAAGTTTTGTTAAAACAATCGAAAAAAATAATAGATTGAATTTTCAATTGATAATCTTTTTATTGATAGTCTAATATCGCAATAGATACCACGCATTTAATAAAGCATTTAAGAGTATAGGATTTATATAATATTTTTTTTCTTTTTCATATTTTTATTTATAGAATATGTTGGTAAAATTACACGTAAAAAAAAAAAAATGAAACAAAGACATTCTGTATATACATATATATTGTTATGATATTTGGTACCACCCGATATATTAACAGAAAAAAACGAAGAGAACAGCATTTAGAAATAGGAAAGCGTGGTTTCTATGTAGAAGAAAAATAGAGGGGAGGCTTCGTCGTCCATTGGACGAGTTTGAATGTGCGAACGTTAACCTTAGAATAAATTGTTATTTTTATTAAAGCCTTTGAGCAGTATACGATCAAATACTTGTTCTCATGGGCGCGCGACGTGCGACGATATACAGGGTGACATTTTTTAATTGGAACACTTAAATGTCACGAAGACAACGTGTTTTTGATAAAGAGTTGTTAATAAAAGTGGTTTGATTTTTTATTTTTTATTTTATTTATTTATTTTTCTTTTTTTTTTTTTTTTGACACGAACATAACAATATTATTTCATTTCGATTCAATGAACATTTCTGAGATTATTTCAAGATCGAATTAATTTACTTTCGTTTGAAAATAAGAATAATATAATTTTCATAACAGCAACTTATTTTTACGCTGATAAACATGTTTTTTTACTCAGCCTCTACTTTCAGCAATAATTAATATTGTTTAAGATAAAAAAA